CCGTCCGTTCCTCCAGTCAGCGCTAGAGGATTGGAGAGGTGAGGAATCCCTGTGGGAATTGGTGACCATCACTGTTCTCTGCAGGGAGATGATTGGGAAGTGAGCGAGTGACTGGATGTGTTCGCTCACTTCTCGATATCTAGAGCCGACGTGAGCATTTCAATGTCACACATCAGGTCTAACTATGAGGATGAGTGTAAATCACTCACCTCATAGTTATCCTTTTAAGCCTAATGGAGTGAATTTGTAAAGAGAATACATTTTCAATCCACGCCGCTTTTCCCTCAGATTAACTACGAAGCAGTGAATGTGACATTTAAACATTTACAGGTGGTTAATCATGCCCTGTAATCAAAACTGTTCACCTGCAGTGAATATTTGGTGAATGTCATGCTTAAGCTGATTGTTGCTCCAAGTGTACTAATACAGCTATAAAGTTGCTTACTGTCAATGATGCTTTCTTTACATTAACAGTTAATTTTTCAGGACACCCTTTTGGGGTCTACCCCCTTCATTTACTAAGGAATACAGAAGTGGTTATGGAATGGGAGAACAGGTGAGACTGGGCATAAAATTATTTGATAGTGCTTTAGAAAGCAGAGCTCCACACTCGGTCCCTTTTTTGTCTTGTGTCAACGGACTATAAGCTACAAAAGATAATTCTGCTTGACACAACATACAGCTCCACAATATAGGGCAATTGCCACCAAAGACATTGCTAGTGACTCTGGATGTACTATGTCTGGATTGCCCCATGTCACAGATTCTGATCACCCTCACCAACCTACGAATATACTGCTGAGGATGTTATAGGACTTATTCATTCTCACATACAGCTATTTCTCTTTTGATCATGACTTTTAACGCCAGTGTATGAGTACTCCTATGTGGTAGTAAGATGGCACAACAATATGCTAACTTATAGTAGACCTGAAAGAATTCCTGAATGGGGTAAAACAGATGCCTTTTAGGTACTACTGCTATATTTTATATATTTTATCATATGGGGAAAAACAATATATTTAATGCTTACTACGTTTTACCCTTCTAACAAACTAAATATGGAATATTTTTAAACAACTCTGCATAGGTTAACTGCTCGTTTTGTGTCTAGGTGGTAAAAAAAAAAAAAAAAGTTGTACTCACCCGAAGGAAAAACAATATATTTAATGCTTACTACGTTTTACCCTTCTAACAAACTAAATATGGAATATTTTTAAACAACCCTGCATAGGTTAACTGCTCGTTTTGTGTCTGGGTGGAAAAAAAAAAAAAAAAGTTGTACTCACCCGGACTATTCGAGCTGGCTTGATCTTATGCTGGTCCCTAGAGCCTCCCTCCCCCTCCTGCTGCAGCGGTGTAAGAATCAATAAGTTCTATAAAAGTGTATAAACATGACTGCTGAGGAACATTCAATCTGTGCAGGATATTTCACTGAGATTTAAAACCATGGAGACTCAATGACAACCTTCCAGAAGACTCTCTATGCATTACTGCTTGAAATGGCCGAAAGGCCATTTTGTATTTTGTGGAGGTTAAGTCTTGCGATGTATTTCTCCGTTCAATGTGTCTGGACGGGGGCTGCCGGGGTTATTTCCCATGGGGCGCTTTTGGAAAAAAAAAAACACTTCATGTCATGCTTAATAGTTTAAAAAAAACAAAAAACAGATTTGGACATGCAGCATCGTAAAGGTGAAGAGACCTCAGTTGAGATTGAGCTAGCCAACGCTAACCAACATTTATTGCAACTGCTAGATCAAAACTTTTTTCACAGACCTCCTAAGAATTTGATCATGCAGTTTCAATTGGCATGCACAATTCATCCGTGATCTATTGGGTGTCCCAGTTTTGTCACTGAAATCCTCCAATTCAGTTGGTACGTAACTGACATATATTTTAAGATAAGTGTATGTATAAAGTCACTCGCACTCCTATAGAATTTCAAGTCAAAAATGGTTTATTGACTCGATTGCTATCACATCATATAGCGACGTTTTGGAACAATAGCGGTTCCTTTAGGCAAACAGAATGTTGTTCCGAAAGTCGCTATATAATGTGATAGCAATCGAGTCAATAAACCGTTTTTGATTTGAAATAATGGATTTACTTCCAAAATGTCTATCTTTCAGGCTGTGCTTATTCTCCTGCCAAAATCCTTTTTTTTCAGCTACACTTGCTGATTACTAGGTTCATTGTGCATATATCTATGCCTCGTCTTCGCTATCAGACATTATTAAGGTAGTGGAGAGCGGGGGGGAATGGGTGTTCTGGATTTTGCCATGATAGATAGAAGCAGGAGTTAGTGTTAAAGGGTTCCTAAACACTCAAGTTTTTTTTTGCATATATCTACAGCTAGTAAGCGGTAGATATATGCAAAACGTAAAAAAAAAAAAAAACGCTTTAAAAGTGGTTTAGACTTGCCTGTGTCTTCCCCGCGCGCTCCCGTCCGAAAATCTGAACATTCTCGGGCAGCCGCAAAGCATCTTGGGGCGGGCGCATGCTCAGTTTGGATTTTTGGCCGGGAGACAAGGCGAGACACAAGGTAAGTCTATGGACGCGTGCACCCGCATGCAGACTCCGTGGGACAGGAAGTGCCAGCAAGCACAGAGGAGTCGGCACCGGATCGGAGACCCGCTGGAGAGAAGGGTGAAAACGACAGGAAAGAAGATTGGATTAAGAGACATCATTTTAGGTAAGTGCTTTAACATTCGGGGGAGGGAAAAAAATGTTTGGCTTTAATGTCACTAAGTTGGATCTTCCCCCCTAGAAGCCACACAGAAGAAAGCTTCTGTACTGTGAGCCTCGGCATTGAAAACTATTGATACAGAGAGATGTGTGTGTCTGCCCAGCTGTGAATGGCCATGACAAAAATTCAAAAACACATGGTTGACCCTATTTAAAATAAATGACCACCCTTACAATCATTAGAAAAGTTTTAAACTCCTAGTACAATGAATCAGTTTGACATGTGTAAAGCTGTCTCTTCCACAGAACAAAATTGACAATTATTCAAATGTATTAAAAAACATTGTTGCAGAGACCATTTCAGGGATATCTGATTTTTTTTTTTTTTTAAATGCGTTGTATTTGCTGGACACGTTTTTAGCTCTTATCTTAAGCAACTAATGTATTTAATTAAAATGTATCTTATGTGTGTATCACTCAATCGCTGATTTCATGCTGACCCTGTCCTTCCTTCTGGAGAGTGGCTATTTTTGTTTCCTATGGTCCCGATTTGTGTTGTGAAGTAGACACCGCTCCAAGATCGCTCCTGTGATGGACTACAATCTCATGTTTAGTTACAAATTTGTATTGAGATTGTAGTCCATCACAGGAGTGAGCTTGGAGCAGTGACTACTTTAAAACATACACAAGTATCATGGGGAACAAATGTAGCCACTCCAGAAGGAATGACAGTGTCAGCACCAATTCAGAGATGATTTGAGTATCTATAGCTGAGTGATTTACAAATAAGCTATGTTTTTGTTAATATTTAGGATACTTGAATGTATTAAGATTTAACTCCTGAGTTTAGTGTTACTTTACATTGTACATCTGTGTATGTGTTTCCACTGTAATAGCTTATCTGCTTTTCTGTGCATGCAGGAATAATCAGAATGTTCTTTCTCCTGTCACTTGCTGGAACCTGCTGCTCACACAAGTGAAAAGGGAGAGTCGTAATCATGCCACATTGAGTGACATCTACTTGAACAACATCATACCTCGTTTTGGTCAGGTCAACGAGGATTCAGGGCGTCTATTCAAAAAGGTGAGATTCCAGAACATCATACATCTCTGCACTGTTCGTTTAGTTCCTGAATACTGTTTTATTGCTTTCTCTCTTTTTTTTTTGCTATGTATATGTAATATATTTGCGTGGTAAAATATTTCTGTTACACCTGGGCATTTTGGTGTTTTGAAGGATTTTATTAATTTGGCTTGATTGATAAACTGCAGATAGGCTTGTCAGCTGCATTTAAAGTTTATCTTTACCTCTTTTCACTAAGAATCACATCGGCATGCAGCTCTGCATGCTGATATAAAATCATCTTACATTTATTAGTTAAACATATTTTTTAATTTACTTGCAAATAGAGTTCATCCCCTTCCTGGTTCACTTTGGCACAAATTTATGTAGTTGTGCCCAAGTGATGCATCCTGGGAAGATTACATCAGCAGAGCATTGCTAGGAAATCTCATCTGTAATCTCACGCGATATCTGGGAAAGGCATTTTCCTCACTGGAGATGATGTGCATGGTCACGTGTCCTAGTCACATGTGCAAGAGTTCCAGGAAGTAAAGGAAGATATCTTGCCTGTATTTGTCTGGCTACATGGGCTTCTTTGCCTTCTCCCTGTTCTCTTGGCCTTGAGGGGCTTCAGGGTGATATACTGTATATTGCATGGGCCCTTCATGTTGATCTGTTGGGAGTTCTATAGGCAGTTGAGGTCTTGCTACTGCCTAGTGTCCTACTCCTGTGGTGCTGTTATACTCCAATGGTCAAGATCTAGAGATTGCCGCTGTGTCTTTAAGTGAACGAAAGAGAAATTATTTTTATTTTTTTTTCTTACTCGCCCTGAAATTTTGTTTTTCATTTAAGGACACCGCACCCTTCCCTCTGGTTAATATGTTTGTGGCCGTTTTGCTGTTCTTATACTGGGTTTTAACTAACTCTGCTGCCTCTAGCAGATGGGTGTTTGGCCACCAGCAGGGGCCTCCCCTAGATTGTGCTTTTGTTCCTGAAGATGGCACTATAATCCAATGGTTAAGATCTGGAGATCTTCGTAGTGTCCGTTATTGAACACAGAGAAAAGGATTTTACAGTGAGTTAAAAAAAATCGTAGTTTTGTCTCACAATACAATCAAACAATGGATTAGATTTCATTGTATTTAAGCTATGACGGGATATTGGTGTGGTTTGAATTGACTTTTTGATTTTACAAAATCTTGGTTTAACAGTTGTGCTCAAAAATCAAAAAGTCAATTCAAAAAATTGTAAAATCAAAAAGTCAATTCAAACCACACCAATATCCCGTCATAGCTTAAATACAATGAAATCTAATCCATTGTTTGATCAATTTGGACCACAGTCCATAAGTGTATTTTTTATTTGTCTGTGTGCTGTATTTTCGAGGCGCACTGTAGCAAAATCCATTTCGCATCAAGCTTCCTCAGGAGCCAAAATTGAATAATTTTGGCATGTGAATTAGTCGCTAATTCTCCCTATATCCAAAGGGAACCCCAAAACACGGGTCAAGCGGTCACAGGGGCGACGACACACAAACGGGGACCAAAATAATGTGCCTCCCGTGCCGTATATTGCATTGTTCCTATTTAAAAGGCCAATATTTGTGCACACCAACCCAGCTCGAGCAGAAACACTATAATGCACCATGTAAGTACAGATGCTCCCTCACCAGTTTTGTCTGCAAAGATGGTCGACAGTATAATGCTCTCCCTGCCATCCTAAAGAGATTATAAGAGGAGGAGGTATTAGGCATATGGCGACCACCGGCCATCCTAAAGCAAACTGGGAGTGCGGGTTTCTGTGAGTGCAGGCAATACCTTTTTGTAGGTCCATGGTCGGACTCTTCCCTTCATCTCCCTTCATCTCTGTCATCTTCCCCCTGCTCCCCCTCTGTATTTGCTTACTGCCGTTGACAACGGAGTTTGGCACCATTATGTTTTTCCCCTGCTCATCACTAGGGTTACTGCGCATGTGTGGGCCTCTCATTGCGGTCTTCCAGAGTTTTTTTTCCTGGACATTTTGTCACTGGGGTCTGCGTTCAGTGCACGTGCAGTTGGGCAGTGACGTTTCCGTGACCTCATTGGTAGGCTTATACGGTCATGCGTAGTATCGGGATGCACTTCCTGTTGGTGGAAGTAGTGTCCACTTCGGGGTTGGCTCTCCCTCCTCTCTGCCTCTGCCCATCAGCTCCCTGCAGGTGTGGGGGATATAGGGGTAGGGTATAATGTGCGGTGGGTTATCTTGCTGGCAAAATTGAAACGGAAGGAGTGGGGGTGGGGGCATGGTAGTATTTGTATATCTTGCCATTTGGCCACATCTTCGGGACCTTAAGTTCCAGGATGACATGCTCTCCACTTCAGTGATTATGCTGTATCCCAAGCGAATGGTGCTTAGGCATGCTAGCACCGGGGCCTACGGTATGTGCCGTTTCCCTTTCCTCCCCCCAGTTTGTGCCCTTTCCCTCCTATTGGTGTTGGGTGCAGGGTGATGATTACCCCCAGTGTCCCCTCCCTTTTTTGGGGTGGGGCTAATGCGAGTGCTGGCACAGACACGGGTAAAGTATTTTCTCCCCCCCATTTGAACCTTCAGGGAGTCAGTAGGAAGCACCTCAACTGTGTACCCAGTAGAATTGATGTGTTTGTTATGTGCTATGCGTTCTGTATTAGTGCTAGAGTGGTTAGCACTAAGGGTCCCCGGTTCAAATTCCGGTCAGGACACTATCTGCAAGTTTGCATGTTCTTCCTGTGCTTGCGTGGGTTTCCTGCTACACTCTAAAGACATGCTGGAAGGTTAATTGGCCCTCCTATGTATGCATGTGAGATTGATAGATTGCAAGCTCCTTGAGGGTAGGGACTGATGTGCTAGGGATGTTCAGATACCAGTGCTGATGCTTGGCATTTTCACGAGAACTACTAGGGTTGCAGCTGGGACCAGGCTCTGGGGCTCCACTACTGCCCTGAAAACATTAGTCTGTATTGTTTTAGAAAAACTGTCACATGACAAACTATAAAATGTATTAGTACTTTTATCTGTGAGTATTTGAACAAGTATCAGTACTTGAAACAATGGTATCGGTGCATCCCTATCTATATCATACATTAAAGGAGACCTATGGGGTTAGGGCTTTTCCCCATAGTTCTCCTAAGGGTAACGGGAGGACACAAACAAACTAGCGTCATCCCGTCACCCAAAGCTCAGTATACCGCGAGCCACAGCTCACAGTATACTGAGACGCCGCAGCTGAAACGGATCCCGACAATTATGTCTGGATCTGCCCAGCTGCGTGAGTGACAGCTGGCTCTGCCTATCTAGAGGCAGAGCCAGCTGTACCAGCCCTCTCCCCCATCCGTTCTGCCAGTCAGCGCTGGAGGATCGGAGGGGGGAATCCAGTCCTTCCCCTGTCACGGCTCTTTGCCGTGACAAGATCGAGAAGTGAGCGAACGCCGGTATGTGTAAGCTCACTTCCCAATCTACAGAGCCGACCTGTGACAGTTTCATTGTCACAGGTCGGCTAGAACTATGGTCTCCTGTAAAACCGTTCTCCTTTTAAAACAGGGATTCGCAAATCCCAGGTGCTCTGTATGCTGCTTTAAAAATTTCAGCTGTCTCCTAACCTTTTTGAATTTTTCTCTAGTCTAGTCTTGGAGCTGGAAAAGTATCTATCTGTATATGTGCTTGTATCGAGTTTAGAAATTGGTATCTGAACATCCCTAGAATGTGCAACTGTGTAAAGCGCTGCGTAAATTGTCGGCGCTACATAAATACCTGTAATAAAAAATAGTGTCTAGGAATGGGGAAACCAGCCCACAGACTCGTCTTCAAGGGTGTGTCCTCCATCTGAATAAGATTATTTATCTACAGTTCTGAAACATCCCTAGGGTTATAACTTTACTATGACTATGCTTTTTTTTTTGCTTTTTTTTTTATCCTTCCTAAATTACATCGCAGGGGGCTTCCTGCATCTACTTCCAACATTTTCTAGGTAGATTAAGCAGGAGATTATACTTGCATACTATGTCAATGGGACAACTTCTCATTCTTCTTTATAAGCTTGCTCTACTAGATCTGCCAGTGCCTCTTGGACTTTTAGGCATTAGGTATCTGTGCTGCAAAGTCTTAGTCTGTCACCTGACCACCTGTTCACATGTTCTCTATAATCTGCTAGGTGGTATCAGCTTAGCTGGTTTTTAGAGCAGTTTAGGTCCTGAATAGTACAGTAGACAATAAAAAGGTGTAGAGATAACCGCAAAAGACCAAACACTTTAAGTGGTCCTGTTACAAGCATTAGAAGGGAAGCCTTATGTTCAGTCTCTCTTCCTCTAGCGGTCAGCCCAGGGTATGTGGAAGGCCCTTGTGAAGCTCCTTCAACAGGATATCATCAGTACAATGCTCTTGACTTTACTGGACTTCATAGACTACTTATGGCTTGTACTGACCCACGTGGTTCACCAGCCACTTTTTCGCTTTGTCATTTTTGCTGGGTATTCTACACTTTAGTTTTTTCTTTAGGTGCTATAACAGCCACTATGCCAGCAGTCATTGGACTCTTCTTCTCTCAAGGTCTCTGTAGAAGATCACTCTTAAGAGTCTGTGTCAGGGGTACATATAGCCTACGCATGTCCTTCCAGCTGATGGTTCGGTAAGACTTCCCCTTCCTGGGTGGTCTGTGAACACAACCTCTGCTTGTGCTGCCCTGGTATACACTTCTAGGGTCATTATTGTATGCCATCAGTTGGGACTGAGAGGCTCATTACGGATGGGGGACCTTAAGAGAGTAGTGGTCGTTAAACTTATCCCACCTTAAACGAGAACTATGGGGTTAAGGCTTTTCCCCATCGTTGTCCTTAGGGTAACGGGAGGACACAAACTAGCGTCCTCCCGTCACCCCAGGCTCAGCTACAGCTTGCGGTATACTGAGAAGCTGAAGCGGATCCCGACAATTGTGCTGGGATCCGCCCAGCTGCGGGACTGACAGCGGGCTCTGCCTATCTACCCGCCCCTCCCCCGTTCGTTCCGCCAGTCAGCGCTGGAGGATCGGAGCGGGGAGGGGGGGAATCCAGCTCCTCCCCTGTCACAGCAGAGAGCCGTGAAAGGATCAAGAGGTGAGCGAACGCCGGTATGTGTTCGCTCACCTCCCAATCTACTGAGCCTACATGTGACCGTCTCATTGTCACAGATCGGCTAGAACTATGAGGTGAGTGAAAAGCACTCATCTCATAGTTCTCCTTTAAACAAATGTTAACCCTGGCCCTAGCCCTTACCCTAACTCTAGCCATTACTTTAACTCTAAGACTAGCCTAACCCCATCCTAGGTCTAACTCTAGCCCTAACCCTACCTAACTCTTACCAAGGGGCACGTGGCTTACAATCTAGTATTTTTTTCAGACAGACTCAACTGTTTGGCATCATCTAGGGGGCACTTTACCTGAGATTATCTGGACGGTAGCTGTTTGGGCATCCTTTTTGTTTTTTCCCTCCCACATAAGGGGGATGAGTATGTGATGGCAGCCGATCTCAGCAGTGTCCATACAGTACAGCGAGTATGATGCCTGAGTTAGGATGTTTTCCCTCACTTGATTGGTAAGTGGGAGCTTCCAAAGGTGAATCGATTTTGAGGTGTACTACAACTAGTAGCTTTTGATTCCAGCTTTAGAATTTTGTTGCTGCCACAATGCATGGGGGGAATTTATAAAAACTGGAGCAGACAGACTAGAGCAGTTGCCTATGGCAACCAATCAGCATCTCTTCTGTTTGCTCAGGTAAGATTTAGAAATGAGACAGAGAAGCTAATTGGTTGCAGTGCAAATCTGCTCTGGATTTGGTCTGTTCCAGTTTTTTGATAAGTTCGCCCCACAGTATGTTGATGCATAAAACTCATGCAATGGTCGTAAAACCATGTGGCTTATTATATAGCACGTAGTCTTGGAAATTATAATGTTTGTGTTCATATTTTATTCTCTATTGAATACACGAGAGCCTATTTCAGTTTTGAAAGGAGAGTATAAAGAGTACCTGCACTGCTTCCTGAAAACCGACAAACTCTTTTATAGAAGAGAATTTGTTTTGAAGAGAATTCGGTATTCCGTTTCTGGGGGAGGCAAGAACTGTCAACATTTTTTTACAGGCCTCTCTGGTAGGTAACAGATGGCATGTTGACTTCCTGGAGGGGGTGATATGGACAATAGGCTGGTGAGGGTTGAGATTTGATTTTTAGCTTTTTATTTGGGAGAATAAATGCTTCATATAAAACAAATTCTAAATTGCTTACATATTGCAATTTTCTTTCTACTTCTTGGTAAGATAGACCTTCTAATCTTTGTCTTTTGTAAGTCTTTTTACGTATTTTAAAGTTTGTGATTAAACTGTCCGCTATATTGCATTTCTTTGTCTTGGCAGAGTAAAGAAATTGGGTTACAACTGCAGGAGGACCTTATGAAAGTGCTAAATGAGCTGTATACGGTAAGTGTGTTTTTTTTTTTTTTTTTGTTTTTTTTTTTTGCATTATGGTTACCAATTCCTACAGTGTTACTTTACAAAAAGAATTGCATACATTCTCAGTAATGATCTGACAGAGTAAATTCTTGCAGCACACCGTTAATATTACTCTTTTTCTTTGCTGTTTTCTCTACCACACCTAGAAGTAAATAACAATAAAAAAAATATTTTTATATTTTTATCTAATTGGCAGAGTATATAACATATTGCATGCATCGGTCACATGTCTGTACTGCCTGTTTACATGCTCTTGCCATGACCTTTTGTATGTCTATTACAGCCTTTTTTTCTTCCCTTGTGGCATGTAACTCTGTGGACAGCTAGGCAGCTATATTAAACACGTAAATGCTTCAATATATCAGAAGAAACCTAAAGATAAAGAACACTTCTCTACAAATGCATTGTATACAATAAGCAATGAGGGCTTACTTACACTGTTCCTGGATGGAAAGCTAACCCACTGCAGGACCCTAAGCTAAAACTAAAAATTTGCATTGCTTAACTAAATACACAACGCACATCAAGATAACAGTGTAGACCCATAAGGATAAGTAATGTCCCAGGCTTTGATTTTAGGAGAATGAACACTGGGCATCTGAAAATGCAGGCAGGGTCTCCTGACTTTTGTGAAGCATCTTCCTCGTATGCTTTTCCTGTTGAACAAAAGCCTGCTATGACTATTAATTAGCAGATGGCAGTGATGAATGCTAAATGTGCAGTATAAATGTTCCATATTACTATATTGCACAATGGGCAGTATGGGTGTGCCGCCTCACTTCCACAATACTAAAGAACACCGGAAACGCATATAAGCAGAGGTTAGCTGTGTTGAAAATTGCATGTCAAAAGGAATCCGATTTAGGCAGATGTAGTTATATGCACATTTTCACTTGGGTGAAGGGAGGGTTTTACTGACGGGTACAGAGGCTTTGGGGTGGGGAGACTTGGCAGGAAATGCTAAGGTTTGCATATTACTACTGCCTATAGCTGTGGACATATTGATAATTTTCTGATTTTCACTGAAGATACCCAAAGGTTATGCATTTATTTTTCCATGAAGAAATGTAATTAAATTTAAACAACAAGAAAGCAAGTCTCAACATGTACATGGCATAACAAGGAGACCTGTAAAATGAGAGTAGGAGGGTGAACTGTTACATTCCAGAGTCAGAAACTAGCAGATACCAGCTGAAATTCCACATAAATTAAACGTTAAATGAAAAGAGATTTAACAATAATGGTTTGAGCAAGTAGGAGCTATTGGTATAGCCCTTGCATGAGAACAAAGTAGACATTGTTAGAACAATAGGAAAGTAATGAAAAGGACAGGAGGGTGAAAGCAACAAGGGAATGGGCATAGAAAGATGTAATAGAAAGAGAGAATGGATAGATGGCTAGAAAAGCAAATCAAGGGAAGGAAGAAAAAAAAAATCTGAAATGAAACCGGACATGATCAACGAAATCACCACCATGATAGTCAGTTATGAGACAGGGCAACAAGTCCTGAACAGATCACAGGGATGGCAGCAGAATCAAGCAAGTGAGTCAGTGTTTGGGTGTAAGCTAAAGTAGTCTTACAATAGAACCAACAAGCCCATGTAAAGGGTGTATGGAGCTCTATCGTTGGCAATATGAATCAATTCCTCCATCTCAGCAAATTTTTTTTTCTACAATACCAGTGGCTACGTGAGGGTTGGCAAGCTGACTTTTAAAAGACAGGGATAACTTATTTTTGCTGTATTCAAGACATGAATAACAGTGTTTCCTGTATTTACAGTATGTGGGGGGGCTTTGTTGTGATGTAACAGGGCAATTACAGGCAAAAGGGTCGGAGTTTCCATAGTGATGTAAAACTGAGGTGTTTTTCCTACCAGTTTTCCAGAAATGTTCTCTGATTTGACAAGTCCAACAGACATGCAGAAATGTGCCAACTTCCTCTTGGTACGTACCTTGAAGTTGTTCACTTAAGGTAATCATATTCCTATTCCTCGTCTGAAAAAGTGAGGTTCAGATCACTTTCTCATGTGATCCTCATATGGTCTGTTTCTGGGCTTGTAGGGGTAAGGATAAGTTGGCATAAAGTGGAAATTGAGTGTGGCTGAGGGGATGTAACGGTGCAAAGGGTCTTGATTGGAATGAGGTCTCTATTACAGCTACCACAAGAGGACGGTTTGATAATGCAATGGCGAAGTTGCAAGTAAGAACAAATAGAAAGCACTTTAGAATCTGAGATTTCGGATAAGTGCTCCTGGGGTTGAGAAAAGGTGTAGTGTATTGCACGTGGGCTTGCAAATTTGCATTGTAGGGTAGTGGCACATCATGGTTGGAAAAGACTTCTAAGAAATCCACGGTGAGAGATGCAAAGATACTGAAGACCTAGCCTGTTCAAGGGTTACCCACTATTTTAGGGAATCATGTATGTTCCAGTTAACAAGTCTGGTAAGGTAACAAGTCCAATAATACTTTTCCATGTTGCAGAGCCCACTGCCACCCCTGTGTTGCAATGCAGTGAAAGTCTTTAGAGCCAGTCTAGGGGCTTTATTTCACCATATACCGTAGTGGAAAAGTTTGCGTGCAAGAGAAGAAACTTTTGGGCGCATGCATCAGGAGTGTTTGTTGGAGGTAGAGGATCCTAGGAGCTATGTTTATCTTTAATATTGCTGATCTACCAAGCCACAAAAAAAATCAGCTAATTCCAGTGTGAGAGGTCGAATTTTATTGGTGGAAAGCGCTTTGCAAAGTTTAGGTGATAAGGTTGGAGAGGTCTGCTGACCGCTGAATACCAAACATGTAACACAAGAGGATTTCCAAGTGAAAGAAAGTTTTCTGACATTCCCGAACAATGAAGGGCGACAGATATTTTGCATAAAAAATGTTCTATAATGAATCCTAAAATTAGAGAGGTTTGGAAAGTTTTCCAGGGTAGGAGGAGAAATTTGTGGCCAAGAAAGAATCGGCAGCAGGTAATCGGCAAAAGCCTCCAGCTTGTACTCATGGCCGACTGCGGGAGCGTGTATGCTAGGTTTGGCACGAATATAGAGCAAGACAGGTTCTAGAGTTATAAGCTCAGAGGGCATCCCTGTCTTGTACCATTGCAGAGGGAGAAGATGTCTTGACAGGTGCTTAATTATCTGAATGCTGGCTCGGGAGTATAGTATAGAGCAAGAACTCTAGCCAGCATTATCGCTTTAATGCCCAAATGGCAGGGGACTGCTTCCATATAGTCTTGGGTCACTCCTTTTGAATGCCTTTTTAGTATCTGTAGATAAAAAAAAACTGTTACAAGCCCAGTTCACTATGTTTAGTGCCCATATTGTGTTGTCTCGGGTTTCACAGCCTGAGATAAGGCCTGCTTTGTCTTGACCTATTAAAAAGGGTGATTGGACGGTTTGCCAACATTTTTGCATAGAGCTTTAGATCCACATTTAAAGGAGAATTATGAGGCGAGTGATTTTCACTCAGCCTCATAATATGAGCCGACCTGTGACAATGAAACTGTCATAGGTCGGCTCAGTAGATCGGGAAGTGAGCGAACACATACCGTCGCCCAGTCACTTCTCGATCTATCCGTGCAGAGAGCTGTGACTGTCACTCACGGCTCCCTGCAGGGATTCACCCCCTCCCCTGTCCGATCCTCCAGCGCTGACTGGCGGAACGGATGGGGGAGAGGGCGGGTACAGCTAGCTCTGCCTGTAGGTAGACAGTGCCAGCTGTCACTCACGCAGCTGGGTGGATCCAGACTGGGTGGTATACTGGGTGGTATACTGAGCTTTGGGTGACGGAGGAAGTTGGTTTGTGTCCTCCCGTTACGCTTAGGAGAACTATGGGGAAAACCACTAACCCCATAGTACTCCTTTTAAGCAAGGAAATTTGAGATCACAGTGAAAGGTGTTTTCAGAAGAGAGATGAGTGACCATCTTCCAAAGAATTAAAAGTAAACTAAAACAGACAAAACACACATGAACAAGTTTTGTACTAGGCTGGGAGCTGTTTGAATGCCAAGTGCAGCTACTCTCCTGTGACTGGGTTTTCAAATTTATGATGCCTTTTCTGGCAGGATAGCGAGGAGCTAAAAGATTGTAAAAACCACCGAAGACTAAGCTGGCTAACAGAGAGGGGATGTAGGTGCCTATGGTTTAGGTTTTTTTGTAATATTTTCTGAATTGGTTGGCAATATCCTCTTATAGTGGAGAGCCGTTCTGGTCCCATATACTTGACTGTGCAGGAGGCCTGTGCTGCCCAGAGCTCCCTAGCTAAAAACTCTGCTTTTATTGCCAAGTTCATAGAAAAATTTGCTAGAAAGGGTAAAAGCCTCTTGATACAAGAGTAAACTTCCTTTTGCTTTTTTGAGGAGCACAGGGCGATCAGGCTCTAAGGCCCGTTTCACACCTGGGCGTTTTGTAGCGTGCTGCTACGCTCTGCTAAACGCTCAAACACCGAAATCCCATTATTTCCTATGGGTATGGTTCACACCTGGGCGTATTACAGGCCGTATGAACGTGCTACAGAACGCCCTACGCCCAAAGAAGTACAGGAGCTTCTTTGGGGCGTTTTTGTCACGCGTTTCCATTGGGATACAGCCAAGTAGCCCACGGAAACACGTGTTTGTCGTGCGTTTTTTTTACAGCGAATCGTGCAACACGAAACACGCGACAAGCGCGCTTATTCGATACGCCTAGGTGTGAACTCAGCCTTAGTCTTTATCAGACACAGGTTTTTAGCGTGCCTGCTCGAAGACCTTTTAATCTGGTTAGTCAGGTCAGCAATTTTAATTTGCTTAGATTTCTTCAAATGAGTAGTTCCATTGAGTAGTGTTGCACAACATTTGTGCTCTTCCCAAATGGTTGTTCTATACATCCGGAGTAGAATCAGAGAGCATGTGTGAAGAGTCCACAATAGCTGGGTCCTCAATGAAAAGGAATTTAGACACCAAGATTTAGATTGCGGCAAATCACAAACATTCTTAGGTCAGCTAATGTGGTTGACCACAAACGTAATGAGTATCCAGCGTCTCATAAGCCAGTGATAGGACATAATTTCATCACTAAAAGAGCATCTCTAGGTAGGGTAGTGAGTATAAGCACCTCCCTGGAGTCTTAACAGAATTAAATGCAACAGCAAAGCCATTGTTTACAGAGAGCTGCCATGGGCAATAATATAGATTTGAAATGGGTGTCGGAAAAAGAACTAAGAGAATGTTCCTACCTAGTGGGTTATGTGACTTTGCCCTAGTTTAACAATACAGCTAATAAACAACAAATTATTCATTTTCGAAATGGGGTGGGAAAATACACAAAGGAAAGAGGGAACCACACAGTCTTAGACCAAGATGTGAGACCAGGGCAGTCAAGGAACCACTGACTGGCACAGAAAGCAGGCTTTAAGATGAGTATTGAGAGGAAAAAGCTTCTGTTGCATTTTCGGTGTGTCCGTACTCTGCAATGTCTCTTCGCACTGCCTAGGAGACATGTTGTTCAGACTATACTTGGCTTGCTGTCTCTCAGGCTTGGGTATTGTATACCATCTGTACACTGATTGTAACTTAAACATATAGTATTACAGTTGGACCAAAATCATAGGCTCGATAAAGTCTGCTTGTGTACATTCCCAAAATTGGCAATTAAAATGTAGAAATCTATCATCACTTAGGTCCTCATTTATACATAAGATCTATATAATAATGCCCTATTAAAATCATTAGTAGTATTAATAAGGCTTCTAACAGAGAAATTGGTGAGTGGGTTAGTAGCTTTTGTGGTTTCATTGGTTATGAAGGGGCATATTTTGGAGGTGTTAGAGGTGAAGGCAGAAGGATTTGGATGTGGGGCTGAAAGGTGAGAGCAGAGTCTAGGATTACACATAGCGCCTTGGCATGGGCAGAGGGATAGTTTCTGCTATCAATCTCCATAGAAAGGTTAAGGAAGGGGACACGGGGGAGGAAAAAATTATGCTCAGTTTTTAAAAGATTGAGCTTTAAGAAGTGGTGTGACATCCAAATTGATATGTTAGTAAATCAGTGATGTACAAGGACTGCAAAGGGGTGAGTTGTGGAGTGAAGAGATGTATAATTATGCATCATCAGCATAAAGATGTTGTTGGAAGCCATGCAAGGTTATCAACTGATCAAGGGAGGAGGTGTATGTGGATAGAGAAAAGAAGGGGTCCAAAGACTGATCCTTGGGCAGGGGACCCCTGTGGAGAGAGGAGAGGTGGATTTTTAGGTGACGCTAAAGGAGTGCTTGGATAAGTAGGAGGAGAACCATGAGAGAGCAGAGCCTTGAAGGCATCTGAATGGAGGTTTTTTTTTTTTTTTTTTTTGAAGAGGAGCAGGTGGTCAGCTGTGTCAAAAGCAGCAAAAAGGTCTAATAGCAAGAATAAAGAGTAGTGGCCATTGTTTTTAGCAGCCAGTAAGTCAGTTTGAGGAGGGCAGTTTCAGTGGAGTGTTGTGGGCGAAAGCCAGACTAAGGGGTAGTCATCAGTGAGGTAGCAGCTTAGGCAATTGTAGATTAGGAGTTTGGAGGTAAATGATTAAACATGGAGGGGAAGATTAAACATGTGAGTAAGAGTGTAGTATAGAGCAAGAGGGTGAGAGAACAGTTTCAGAAAACAGAGCTGCAATAAGACAGCACTTACAATCACTAAAGCAAAGTATGTGTGTTGCATACTACAGTGTGTGAGGCATGAGCAGCAGTATTGTGAATTCATCACAGGTCATCAACCTGTGATACATACATCAGGAGAACCCCTGAAGGTTATAGTTAGTAGTAAAATTAGGTTTACCATACCCATAAGGATACACTTATTGGTATACACTGGTACAAAGGGTAAAGGTACAGTTCAAAGAGCAGACCTGAACAGAACACTAGGTTTCGACTTGGGGGTGTCGGTCACAGTTTTGTGCAGGCTTGGGCAAGCTGGATTCACACCAAGACCCTCTACACATCACTGATCACAAGGCATAAATTAAGTATGTAATCCTTTTCTATTGCTGCAGACATATCACTAAAGGCAGAACTCTGCTGTGAGTTTTATGCATAAAGTAAGGATCCCATAAACACAGCAGTTATAATAAACGGTCTTGCACAGCCCAAGCTCAGTTGGGATAAAGTAACCTCATTCAAAGTAATTTTCAGTTTCGGCCTGACAAAATAATGCTGCGGGAGGTGCGATGCAGTGCCATTCGTTTTAATGGCACCTCAAATGCGCCTCCCACCCACGGTGTGATCGCCCGCACTGTAACGCACGGTAATGCAGTGCATTCCAGTGCAGTGCAATCGAAAAATTGTGCATGCAGTTTTTTTCTGAACTTTTAATTTTTAAGGATGGTATCTATTTTTTTATTTGTATACGATTTTTAATCCAAAAAATAATTTGGCCAACTAATCGATTAAAAAAAAAAATCAATAGTTGCAGGCCTAGTTACCAGTGAGCACGGATACAGACAAAAATGCTTCCTCTCTTCCCTAAAGTTCCCTTCTCCCTGCCCTTCCACATCCAAGACTTTTTGTGAAGCAAGGAGTGTGAGAGAGAATGCTGAGAAGTATTTTTTTGTGTATGTAGCTGTGGCATATCAGCCTCTTCCCCCTAGATCTCAAGTATTCCACTGAAAACATCACAAAATGTAAAAAGATAGGAAACCGCAAATTCTTTTCAGGTTTCCTTGTAGAATGTCTGTGCAAGCAATCACAATCTCATGCCTGCGTTTTTGTTGCTATTACTGGAATCCAGCTTTCATTTTTGTCACTTATAGGTCACTGGAATTAAGCTTTAATAGCTTAAAATTGAAGAAAAGATTTTCCCTTTTTATACCATTGTGCATTTATCATGGTGGTTAATTATCCATTATTATGTTTGATGAAGAGCGACTTTGTATTGGACATTTTTTGAGGTTTAGATTTTTAAATTCAGTTTTTGTTTTAAATCGGCAATTTTTGGCAGTTGCTTCAGTTAGTAAAGGCATTTAAATAACAATTTATTTCTCTTGGATATACAATGACTGCAATGATTATCAGAATGGGTACTTGTCTCTTTCAGGTGATGAAGACGTATCACATGTATAATGCAGATAGCATATCTGCACAAACTAAACTTAAAGACGCAGAAAAACAGGAAGAAAAACAGATGAGTCGATCAGTGCGACAAGAAGATCGCCAGACTCCTCGTTCCCCTGACACGACAACCAGCGTCCGCTTAGATGAAAAACACATAAGGCGCAGCTCAGTTAGAAAAATTGAGAAAATGAAGGAGAAGGTGAGCTATTTAATTACTATATACACATTTATTATCTTTGTGAACCACCGAGTTCATTACTGCAGTTTTGTTAACTCGCCCGACATTTCAAGGTGGCGTTCTGGTCTCCTGAATGTTTAACAATCTCCTGCAGTCTGCCCACCAAAAAATTACTTTGGTTTTAGTTGGACTTTTCCAAGTTTTAAAAGGTTTTTGAAAGTTTTTTTTTTTTTTTTTACTGGCCCTAAGATTTGCCACACTGGAAAAGTCTGCTACTGAGGCCCATGTAACTTTCTGTCTGCAGAGGCTAGGTACCACGCAATCCTCTAACATTAATGTGGCACAGTCAAAGTGGCTATAGAATAGGGAGCAGGGGGTCTGAGGTTACAGTGTTAATGCTAAGGGGGCTAAGAAACAGTTATAAATAAGTATGTGTATTTAGTAATGCCGGTCAGAAAAAGAACACTAGACTTTAGTTGTATTTAACATTTATATACCCATAAACCCATCTTGCAAACACTAAAAACTCTGTGAACAGAAAGATAAGCTATGCAATATGAGCACTCCATGAAGTGTTAGTTACTGGACATGTCCCATCTCGTTGGGTTATGCAAGAAGAGAGAAAGTTTGGAAGGGGGACTCAAAAGGAGGAGGTATGGAAGAGGGCGGGACAGGTACAGCTGAGAGCATTTTTTTTTTTTGGAACAGGAGGGGCAAGCTAGGCAGTAGAGTACAGGGGATGCACTCTATATGCAAGGCTGTACATTACACACTCCTGACTACTGCACTCTGTATACAGGGCTATAAGTTACATAAACTTGACCACTACTGTATGTATGCTGAGACTTCAATGGTGAGAGTAGTGCCACACATATCCCTGTACCGACAATGCAGCAGTCGGGAGTATGTGCTGTGTACATAGTGCAGTGTTCAGAAGTGTGTGAATCCTACAGAATCCCTGACTTTGTGCAAGTGCAAGAATTGATGCTGGTTTGAAGGCAAAGACAAGTCACACCAAACATTGATTGAAATTCGATATTTCTTCTGTTAACTCTGATATATATCGTTGAAACCATTCTTAACAGCATTTTTTCACACCGGCCTAAAACTTTTGCACACTACTGTATGTCACAGAAACATATTGCAGCGGTCAGGATAACATGCAGTGTACATTACATATTCCTTCCACCATGCTCTGTACACTAAGTTGTATGCTGCATACCCCTTACAGTTGCTTGTTACATACTTATGACCATTGCACTCTGTGTGCTGTACTGTATGTCACATATTCTTGACTACAGAACTTTGTACTATTTTTATTAACCTCTTCTTTAACGTAGCATTAAACTCTCAAACATGTTTACAGTAAGGAATCCAGATCAAATAAATATACATTGCTCAGCAAAGTATTTAATTTTTGGCCAAGCACTTAATCATGTTTCTGAGCAGCTGGCTCCAGCTCTCTTAGCTTGGTTTCCCTGAACATTCTGACTAGTACAAGATCACAAATGGGACAAATTTTTTCTAACCATGAACGCTGATGAAAAGTGGGATGGTTTTAAGAATACTTTACATAATGCTATTACCAAGTGCATAACATTGGGTAACAAAAATAAAAGATCGAGAGCTAAGCCTTCATGGCTAAATAAAATGGTAAGACAACACATCAAAGAAAAGAAGCTGGCATTTAAAAAATAGAAGATGGAGGGGACTGCATTGGCATTCCAGAGCTACAAGGAATGCAATATGAGATGTAAACGTGAAATCCGTCATCAATTACATTGGTCTAAGGTCGAGAGTGGCGTGCCTCGGGATTCTGTGCTAGACCCAATACTGTTTAACCTGTTTATTAATGATATCGGGGAGGGTGTTAATATTCATGTTTCTGTGTTTTGCAGATGATACTAAAATTGGGAGGGTAATAGATGCAGACTTAGACATTATAACATTACAGGAGGACCTAGATAAAATAGGAGAGTGGGCAACTATGTGGCAGATGATGTTTAATGTTGAAAAATGTAAAGTAATTCATTTTGGGGTTAAAAACAGGCAAGCGGAATACATATTAATGGGAACTCCACTAGGGAAGCCAGAAATGGAAAAAGATTTGGCTGTTCTAGTAGACCACAGATTGAATAACAGCACACAATGCCAGCCTGCGGCAAACAAAGCGAACAGAGTACTCTCTTACATTAAAGGAGAACTATGAGATGAGTGATTTCCACTCACCTCATAGTTCTAAGCCGACCTGTGACAATGAGACTGTCGCAGGTCGGCTCAGTAGATCGGGAGGTGAGGGAACACATACCGGGTTCACTCACCTCTCGATCCTGTCACGGCTCTCTGCGGGGGGGGCTGGATTCCCCTCTCCCCGCTCCGATCTGCCAGCGCTGACTGGCGGAACGGACGGGGGAGGGGGCGGGTACAGCTGGCTCTGCCTCTAGGTAGGCAGAGCCAGCTGTCACTCTGCTGGGCGGATCCCGTCATCTACGTCGGGATCCGCTCCAGGTGCGGCGTCTCGGTATACCGTGAGCTGTAGCTCGCTGTATACTGAGCTTAGTGTAACGGGAGGACGCTAGTTTGTGTCCTCCCTTTACCCTAAGGAGAACTATGGAGAAAAACACTGACCCCATAGTTCTCCTTTTAAAAAAGAAATATACTGTAGAGACAAAGCAATCCTTTTGCCACTGTATATATGTCTGGTTCGGCCTCCTCCTTTAAATATGTGGTTTCACTTTTGGTCACCAGTCCACAGGAAGGATGTCCTTAAGCAGGAGAGAGTCCACAGAAGAGCATCAAAACGAATTAAGGGGATGGAAGATCTTAGCTATGAGACAAGGTTGCTAAATTTAAACTTGTTCACACTGGAGGTGAGGCGATTTAAGAGGGGACATCAATTTGATGTACAAAAAGTTTAAAGTTTTTATTGCCGATGTTGCCATTACTACTACTGTAAACTCCCTAACAAAGACTAGAGACCACCACCTAAAATTGGTGGAGAAAAGATTTAACCACAAGGGGCCCAGGGGCTTCTTTTCAATCACTGGTTACATTTTGGTTTTCATGGACCAGCTGATTCTGCAGGAAACAAACTTGTAAACATGAAGGACCAGCATCCATTTTTTTATTGATGTAATCAGCATTTAAAATGGCTTAAGACACAGACGTTAGTTCTCCAAGAGAAATGGGATTGAAGGTGGCACCACAGTACAGATGAGCCAGCCAAACCGCATGGCGGCGGTTTCCTAATTGGCCGGGAAGCTGGCTCCATGCTAGCAGAAGTGCCAGTATCAGCGAGCACTGAAAGATAAATATCAGTACTTCATACAGAAAAACTGTTATCGGTGCATCCCTGATAAATTCTAGAATAGGTAGTTTGAGCATACAAGAAATGTGTATAATCTTTTGTGGAGGGGTTCTTCTCCTGCCTGATGAAATTCACCAAAGCCTGGGAATGTAGTAGTTTAGCTAGCTATGTAGCTGCTTTTGGGGGATGCTTTAACTTTGATCTCTGTAAGTTAGAGCAATATTTGAATCACCTGCACATATAATTGTGCCGTTCATATGGGGTCTAAGATCCCGTAGCATAGTAGAAAAAAAAAAAAAGGACCTGAGAACTGTTAGGAGCATAATAGGATATTAAAGTGATCAGATTGTCTTCAATACAGTGGCGTAACAACCGGGGGGGCACTTGCCCCGGGCGCAGGACTGAGGGGGGGCGCCGTCACGACCCCCGCTAAACGAAGCCATGGCTCCCTCTCTCTGACACGATCACCCGGCTGTCATCGGGCGGCCGCTCGCTCTTCCGAGGCCACTGCGAGCGGCCCTCTACAGTGCCTGATTGG